CATCAGTTCAGGTCCGCCCCCGCCGCCCCAGGCCGCGCCTTGTGCTCCCGCACCGCCGCCTTGATCCGCGCCGCCGCCACAGGCAGCGCCTCCGCCGGCATCCAGGCCCAGCAGATCCGGAAGAACCCCGGCGCCTCCGCGTGGCACGCGCGGCCGGGCGTCAGCAGCAGCCGCTTCGCCTCCACCATGTGGCTCCACAGGGACTCCTCCTCCTCCCAGGTGGGGGCCCGCAGGCCAGCCCTGAGGTCCACCCACAGGAACATGGCGGCGGTTGCGGGGGCAAAGGGCACGGGGCCGTCCTCGGCCGACGCCAGCGCGCCTGCAGGGGGCGGGCCGCGCGCGCGCGCGCGCGTGTTGGTGTAGGGCCAGGGTTGCGTCAGAAGGCAGGGCGTTCAGGGGGCGGGGCGCGGCGCGGCGTGCGCGCATGAAGTGGAAACGCGTAGCCGGCGATGGGGCGCGGGGGCGGGGGAAGAGGGGGGGCGCATGGCAAGGAGAGGCAGGGCAGAGCAGAGCGTGCGGCTGCCTGGGCCAAGGCTGCAGGGGCAAGCAGGGAGGTGCGGAGGGCTCAGATCCACGGGTCATTCTGATGCAGCGCGCCGGCCCTTGCCATGAAAAACCCTCATTGGATCCTGCCAAGGGCCCGCAGCCGATTGTGCGGTTCGAGGCCCTCGAGCGCCTGCTCTGCCAGGGTGGGGGCCCCCGCGCCGCGCCATGCACCTGTGAGCAGGTCGTACGAGTGCGCCAGCCGCCGGTTGTTTTCTGCCACGAAGGACGCCAAGAACTTGGCATCCGCCAGCAGGGTGGCGAACAGCCACTGCAGGGAGCAAGGGGCATGCGCACGGCGGCGCGGCGTGCAGCGAAGGGGGATCGTTGAACGCTGTCGGCAAGCGGACAGGGGGGCGCGCGATGACGTGGGCAGGGCACATGTCGAGGGAGTGGCGGTGTGCATGGCGCAGTGACCTGCTGCGACGCTGCTGTGGGGTGGGCGTTGGGGGAGTCCGTTGCAGTGGGTGGGCCTGGACACGCTTGACGGCGTGGAGGGGTGGAGTCATATTTGGGTGTCACGACTCGCCAAACGCAGCCGAATCCTTTGAAAGTGAGAAGGAGCCGCTCTGCTGAGCGCGCCCACCGCACTGTGTGTGGACACCGGGCGTGCACCCCCCACAGGACCACGCGAGCAGGAGGGGGGCACGCGCGTCGCACACAGCAGCGCAGGGCAAACGCTCACAAAGGGCACCGCGGGCTGGTGGGAGGGCGGCAGGGCGGCCGGGCGCCGACCTGCACTGATGCGGCCGGCAGCGCAAAGTACGCCAGGTTGCACAGTGCGGCGTTGAGCGACACGTTGCGGCTGTGGAGGCAGCCCAGGCGCAGGCCGCTGGCGCAGAAGTCCTTGGACATGCCGAATATGACGTGAACCTGCGTTTGGGGGGTGGTGTGTGTGTGTGGGGGGGGGGGAGAGGATGAGGACGGAGGGGTGGGGTGAGGTGAGGCAGGGTACGTGCAGAGGTGGACTGTCTTGTGTGAGGGGTGTGAGGGTTGGGTTTTAGGGGGACGCGGCGGCGAAGGCGATTGTCAAAGTGAGGAGGCAATGGCGGCTTTTCGGGAATTGCGAGGGGCGATCGTGATAGCAAGAGCAGCCGTCGCGTGAGCGCTGCAGGCCATCCTGCCTGACTTCCAATTCCAAGTTCCCGGCTGCCGCAACGGGCGCGCGCACGCGGGCTGGCCCCGCCTGACACCGTCAGGTTGCGACGCGCTGCGCCGGCCGCCCCGCGCAGCAATGCACCGCACCACAATGCAGGCCCCCGTCATGCGTGCGACCGCCCTCACAACGGACTCACCAGGTCGCGCGCTCGCTCGCCCCCCTTCATCCCCGCCGCCTCGCGAGCCGCCAGCTGCGCAGCGCTGACGAAGGCTGGCCCCCCCTCCTTGAAGATGCTCAGGGCGTATATCTCATCACTGGGGGGTGCCGGCGCGTGCAGGGGGCGGTCATGGGTTGGCCGTGAAGGATCGGAGGGGTAAAAGCAGCAGGGGGTGTCCTTACACGGAGTGAAGAGCGAGGTACGCAGCGGGATGGCGTTTGAAGGGACGCCTAGCGTGCGGCTCGCAAGAGCGATTGCCTGCTGGCGTTGGTACGTTGTGGGCCGGCTGCGGTCCCTGTAGGTTCGCGCTGGCGCAAACAGCCCCGCCAAAGAGCCTGCTCGTGCTGCCGCATGAATCTACAGTCAGCCTGAAGGCGTCGAAAGCACCCTCACCATGTCACTTGCTGCGTCGTGCGCCTGCCCTCAAGCCCCGGCCCTTACCATGTCCCACATGTCCCCAAGCCACAGCGACCCGCCCCCCTTGCGCACACAAACACACAACTGCACATGCGTGCATGCAAACACGGGTGCATGCAGCATGTGCATGCATGCATGCATGCATGCATGCATGCATGCATGCATGCATGCACGCACGCACACATTGGCACACCTGACAAAATGCAGGCTGTTCGAAAGGCACCACCCCAACAGCTCCCGCAGCTCCGCCTCCGGCGCCACAGTGCCCAGAGGGTTCGACGGGTTGGACAGCAGCAGCGCCTTGATGGGGACGCCCTTCGCCTCTGACGCCGCCCTGGCCGCGTCGAGCTGCGCGGCCAGGGGCCCCTTGTCGGGGTGCAGGTGGACGGGCACGGGCACGGTGCCGTTGCGCACCTGCGGGCGCGCGTCGATGGGGGCGGGGGCCGCGGGGGTCATCATAAGAGGCTGTGCGGGCGGTGCAGATTCTCAGGGACGAGGGGGCAGGGGTCGGGGAGGAGCGGCAAATGCTGCTGCTGTGGGGCTGGCGGGGCGTGGCAACGGGGAGCCGTGGCGTGGCCGCGGCCAGCGCAGCGGCGGCTGGGGCGTTCGCGGGGCAGCTGAATGGGTGGGGTGGGCCGTGGGTTGTGGGGCCTGAACTCAACCACACAAGCGCGTGGGTGGCGGGCTGACGTGACCCCCCTGTTCGCACAGAGGGCACACACACACACACACACACACACACACACACACACACACATACACACACACTTTCTCTGTCTCACTCAGACACCGCACAAACACGCGACAACACTCACACCTTGACCCCACCAACAACACACCGTGAGGTCGTTGTCAAACGCGGGGTAGTATGGCGCGACGATGAGCACGCCTGGGAGGGTTGGATGATGCACGTGTGCTGATGCTTGGCCAAAGGTTGGGATGCGGGTAGTGTAGGGCAAGTAGGCGACGAGCACGCGTTTGGCTGGAGCCTCATGAGCCCAAATGATGGCCAAACCCGCGGCCCTCAGGCCCTGCGGAGCCGCCCAGCGCTTGGCCAGCCCCAGCAGCTGCCGCATCCCACCTTGCTGCTTGCCCACCACCCTTGCCCCCGGGCTCCTTCCCGTGCAGCCCAGCGGGCCGGCCCCTGCTCACCGTCCCCAGGCGACGTGATGCAGTGGAACAGCAGGTCCACCACTGCGCCCGCCCCCGCCGCGCACGTCAGATGCTCCGGGTCGACATTCACACCCTGGCCAGGGGCGGGCGGAGGGCGGGGATCAGGGTCGCGGCAGGTTTGACAGGCGCAGGAGAATCCGATAACGCGGATGGGAGGGGTTAGGGGGGGCGTGGGCGATTGGGGGCGCTTGTTGTGTATGGTTGGCGGGGGCAGGTGCGTCGATCCGGGCCAGCAAGGCTGCGAAGACCGTCCGGAGTGCAAAGCCGCAAAGCCAACAATGTCGTCATTCTTCCCTCCCTCGTCCGATCAACCAACAGATCGCCCAACCCCCATCCCGAGGGCCCCCACCCCCCCTCTCTACCCCCACCTTCATGAAAGTTGACTCCAGCATGGCTTTGAGGGCCAGCCCCAGCTCGGGCAGCCCCCGCCACGCCTGGTATGTCAGCAGCTCAGGGGGAAACGGCCCCAGCTCGCGGATGCGCGCCTGTTTGTGAGCATTGCATGTGTGTGTGTGTGTGTGTGTGTGTGTGTGTGTGTGTGTGGTGCGCGCGCGCGTGCGTTGTTCCAGGTAGGGGCAGAGGGCGGCCGGGCAAGCAGAGGGGACAGTTCCGAGGAGGGGCAGGCGAGCTTGTGGGGGTTGAGGCTGCTCAGCTGCCGGTAGGGTACGACAGATGTATGTGAGGGGGCTGGCGACTGTAGGAGGCCTGCGTTGTGCGTCAGGTCACGGCCAGCCCGTCCCCTGGCCGCAGGCAGATGCGGGCCAGGAGCGCCGCAAGGTCGCCGCCATGGGCGGATGCCTCTGCATGGCGAGTTCACTCACATAAAGCACATCCGACGAGATTTTGTTCTCCGCCACTCCCAGCACGATGCTGCCATCGGGCTCGTCCTCAGACCTTGATCGGAAGCGCGGCAGCGTGGTGGTGTGCGTGTGGGAGAGCGCGGGTTGTTGGGTGGGGACAGGGCGCTGCCGCTTGTCACCGGGCTCCACTGCCATGGGAGGCGGGAGCCGTCTGTCTGCGACCAGTGATCAAGCAACAGCTGCGACGATCGGGGGCTTGACAACACCCAGCTTGGCCTCACCAGAGGCCCTGCGCCTTGAGGGAAACAAATGCGGCACCATATGACAGCGCCGGCCGCAACGCGCCCATCGCGCGCGGCGCCAGGAAGTTGGGGGCGTCCTCCGCCATTAACACTTAGCAATATAAGGTGGTTTAACGACTCTCTTGAGCGAAATAAGCGAAGACAGGCTTGAGATCGGCAATATGGCAGTGAGATCACCAAACACAGGCCTGAGCGCGCTGACGCCCTGAAAATATGTTGACATCCGAGTCATAAAGAGTTTGACATGTCCTAGTCACGTGCCCTGCCCGCGGGGCCTCGCACCAACACAGTCACGCAGTGACACCACTCCGGTGAGTTTTTGACGGACTGATGACCAGCTGAGGACTGTGAAACATCCACTCGATCAGCCCCACCAGAAAGACTAGTCTGCAGGATCACGCTGCAAACAACTCAAATGTGTGATATGTGCAAGGATGTTGCTGCATTTTCGCTGTTGCTGGCCTGCGCTGCAGCACCCGCCATGCGGTGGAAATCCCCAGCCAACTCGCCATCGAGCTGCCCTCAGGTCACTTGCCATGATCCACGCTGTATGGATTGACACACACTTGGTCCTCTGCGCTTCAGCCTGCGCCGTCACAAGCACAACCTGCATCTGCGGCATGATTGCATGTCCCTTGCACCCCCCCTTGCCAATGCAGCAGCACATGTGACCCGCCCATCCGAATTGGAGGGTCCCGGAGGTGTTGCAAGAACAATCTGCTCCTGTTTACATGTCTCCTATGGCAGCGCAGCACCATGTTTCAGGTGCCAATGTGCAGAGCTCAAAACCCTACCGCAAGGGATCACCAGACCCTGCATCGGATGAATGGGCCGCCCTGGGTGCAGCGGCAGCAGTCGCAAGTGCCAACAGTAACGCGATCGCCACGTTTCTTGCAACGTGTGCGACTGTAAAGAAGTAGCTGCCTGTTGTGAGGTTGGTGGGAGGGCCAGCCCGGACTGCAATCTGCGATCAACAAGGGGGAAGGCACCAAATGGCTGCGGGGTGCCCAATGAAACAAACGCTGACAAGGCTCGCATGGCGAGCATGCCGACCATCGTGCGTCAGTCAAACAACAATCTACTGTCAACAGCCTGCGTATCGGACGGGTCGCGACGAATGGACGGCCGCGCCCGCGCGGCGGTTGGGCGCAAAGCGCGGCAGCGAAACACGAACAGGATGCTGTCAGCGTTTCGCCCCCGCGCGCAGGGTGTGCGACAGGGGGCGGCTCCTTGGCCAAAATGTGGAATGGGGAGCGAGTTGTTTGGGCCGGCGGGCCGCACGTGCGGGTGAGCGACGGGGTTATTGGTGCCTTGGGCCAGGCGCGCAGTGGCTGCGACAGCCGGCACCCCGCAAGCGCGGCCTGTTGCACGGGAGACGTTCGAATGGCCTTGGGTACTGCGGGATGTGCTCGACCTAATTGTGTTTTGTTGTAGGGGCACAGCAGTCGCGTGTGTAGGCGGCGGCTGCTCAACGACCAGCGGCGGCGGACACCATGCCTGGGGAGGCGCGTGCACTGCGGGCGGCCGCTCGCGGCTCCGTCGCCAGGCTGGCCACTGCCCAGGCGTGGTCGCCCAGGCGAGCACTGCCAGGTACGCAGCTTGAATCCAGCTCCGCTACGCCGGCATGCCGCATGCATGCGGCGCTTACAGGCCGCGGTAGTTTCCATACGCATAGGCCGACGCATAGGACGCTGCACGCACGCCGCCGCCGCCGCTGCCAGCAGCCAGCCAGCCGTCCATGATCGGGCTATTCATCTTGGTGGCAGGCATGCTGGAGGCATAGCTGTAGCTGGCGGTGCCGCTCCTGCCCGTGGGCGAAATGGTCTGCACCTTCCGCGGTGAGGGTAGGTCGCGGTACAAGTCACCGGCATACTCCTCCTTTGCCTGCTTCAAAAGCGACCGGATGGCGCCCGAAGCCGCGCCATCCACGGTCAGCACTGCAGCCTCGGGTGACAACGACGACACCGGCCCCCGCAGCAGGCGCCCGTCGCAGCCTCCAAGGAGCGCAAGGCACACTAACACGGCGATTATCATCGTGTAAGCGCTGCTGCACGGCTGCATCGTGTCCTACGCGCACTGCGCGGCTTCAGCGAGGGATGGTTGTGGTGTTCTTTTCAATGGGAGGTTTAAGAGTGAATACAAGGGTGTACTGATTGAACTAGTGCAAGTTTCGATTGATTGAATCCGGCGGCGGGTGTAGTGAAGCTCTCAACAAGGGTGCCAGGGGGGACGGAGCTGGTGACACCTAGTTTTTGCCCGGGTGAGCAGCTCAGGCACTGTTGATACGGTTGACACCATAGTCCCGAAATCGAATCTTGGTTTCTCAACAAATATAATGGCTTAAAGAGACGCAGAGAAGTGGCCCCATTCGCGTCGAGTGACGCCGCAGCAGCGAGCTGCCCTCCTGGACTGCTTTGATTTCCGTGGCGCAGCAGCTGGTCGTCGCTGCTCGCCCGTATACACAGGCAAACTTCAGCGGCGTGTGTGGACTGTGCCAGACTACTTCACATCCAGCTACTGAGTCCATGTACGAACAAGAAGGTTGAGCCGTTATGCCTGGTGAAGTCAAACACATTTTACCCTGTGCAAATGTCGTATCTAGCTGCCTCGCATGTAAGAGCTCGCCCACCTTATACCATGTTCGTGCCGCCTGCAGCTGCCTGGCGGATCAAGGGACTAAAGGTAGCACGGGCGCGGGCTGCGCTGCGCCTTGGTGCAGCCACGCATGCACTGCACACGTGCATGGAACCCTGGGGGCACGCCTGTGTATCGACCACACTGATTTACATGGCAGGCAGGGGCCAGAAGCCACCTGGCGCGCAGGCGCTGTCTCAGTCATCTGAAGCACCGGCGCAACCACGGCCAGATGAGCACAGGCGACAAGCGCGCCCATAATATGCAACGTACAATGCCAACTAAGAGATAGAACCCCACGTTTATATGGCAACGAATGCCTGTGCGCGCTACATGCAGCTGCCCACTGGCAACCGAAGAGAGGGGCAAGGCTGTGCGGGAGAGAAGTAGACAAGCGGGAGCCGGTCTTGCTTTGGCCCTGGCCGTGGCGCGCAGCGAGACCATCAGGCCGGGAACGTGATCGAGCCGGGGTGGGGCCTTGGCCTGAGAGGACAGTCCTGTAACCAGTCTTCAACACCGGCTAAAGGTGACGCCTGCCAGAAGAAGAGGGGGTGTTGTGAAGTCGGTTCCTGAGCGCCGCCACCAGGGCTACTGGTGTCCTCAGCCCCAAATGGGAACCCGCGGGCAGTGCGCGCCCTGGCCGAGCCGAGCCCAGTCGACGACACTGTCAGGCCGCTCTCGTCTGCCGACCCCTCCCCGGGATAATCACCCCTCCCTGGTGAACGCGATCCCCCCCTCCCCCCCCTACCGCATGCCATCATCACGATGATCATGACCACCGCCGACGCGCAGCCAGCCATGATGAACCACATGCGCACGTTCTGGGGGTCAGGTTTGCGGCCGGAGGGCAGAGGGAGGGAGGGGGTGTCGAGGCAGAGACATGCGCGAGCGGGGCGCGGGCGCAGAACACGTCAAAATATGCATGGCAGGCGGCAGGGCCCTCCACAGAGCGCCTGCTGGCTGTTCCCTAGGGGCGGGGCGGCGCCGCGTCCACCCGCGGCCCCCATTCCTCCCCTCCTGAGCCCCGAGAGGGGCCGGCACGGCCGCGGGGACTAGTCGACCAAGGGGCCCGCGCCGCACCTGCCACCACATGACGCGGCGCGCGCGCGTGGCCTCTCTGCGGAACGCGAAGGCCTCCCCCTGCAGCAGCTCCGTCTTGTCCACTAGCAGGTCCAGCTTCTCCCCCCTGTCCAGCACCTTGGCTATGTTCTCAATCATGACGTCCTTCACCTGGGGGGGGGGGCGGGAGTGGCGCTTGGGG